GGGGGGGGGGGGGGGGGGGGTCACAGGGAGCAGTTTCCCTACTGTGCTCACTGTTGCTCCACCATTGCCAGTAGACAGGCCTTAGTCCTCTAGAAAGCACAGCTCATACCTCATCCTGCTCGCACATGTTTCTGCAAGCGCCTGTTGCCTCTTAACCCCTCACATTACCGCTTAGCTTTAATTGCATTTCAAATAAACACCGCATTAATCCCATCCTGCAGGGAAAAAAACACAGTGGTTTTACTGTGTCACTATGACACGGTATTTGACATGTTATTTAGAACAAAAAGGTGTTGAGATGGAGATTTTTGTCCCCTCTGCTTTTGGTTTGCACTCTTTTAGTTTGTGGGTGATTTAGTGTCATGTTCTTGTGGTGCCATGTGGCTGCTTCTCTGAATGCTTGTATGTCGTCTGCAGCAGCGCTCTGTCTGTAGCTCTCTTGATCTTTGATAAATAGTGTGTACAACAGCCTGGCGGAGGCCCAAAGAGCAGTTATGTTTCTTCTGGTCAGACAGCCCATCTATTCTATAAAAAGGATGAATGGTTTGTGTCAGCACAATCTAGAGAAAAAGCTAGTTTTAGTGATGAGTGGGCATAAACTTTCATGAAATTTGTTTCCGTTGTACATAGCGTTGGCTTCCTCATGTGACATTTAATTTCCTTGAACAGTTTGAAAAAAGATTCATCATATTTACAGTCCAAACAAAGCATTTTTGTCGAAATCTACCTGATTGGCTTATGCTTGGTGTTACAAATAAAAATTCACTCTTCATGCCTAGCGCTCAACATAGCCTAATTTTCTGACCACAGTGTGAAAGATGAGCCTAACTCGCTAAGCAGTAACCGCATTACACTTGCACTTGCTTGTGTCAGGAGCAAGGTGTTTTAAAGGGTTTCAAGTGACCATGTTTAAAATGCCTGACTTCCTTTTACAATTTGCATTCTCATAAAGAGCTTCAGTAACCCAGAGCCCGCTCGGATTGGCCCATAGCTTTCTCATTGAGGGGGCGAAAACTCCACTCACATCCTTTTTGTCAGAAATGAAGGGTAAAACTCATTGGAATAATAAAGGGATAGTTCACTCAAAAATGAAAAGAATGACATGAGGTTGAGAAATTAATGACAGAAATTTCACTTTTGGGTGAACTATCCCTTTAAGGTTGCATGTAATGTGACACATTGCAGGGCTGATTTAAATGAATAGTTTACCCCATAATGAAAATTTACTCACCTTAAAGCCATCCAAGATGTAAATTGAGCTCTCATTCTGACGGCACCCATTCACTGCAGAGGATGCACTGGAGAGCAAGTGATGTAATGCTACATTTCTCCAAATCTGTTCTGTTGATTAAACAAACTCATTAAAATCTTGGATGGCCTGAGAGTGATTTTCAGCAAATTTTCATTTTTGGGTCAACTGTTGCTTTAAGACAATTAGGAATCTACAAATAATCCATCGATATTATATATTTAATTGTGCATGCTCATTTCTCATATTTTTATTTAGAATATCCTTGGTACCATCTAATGCTTACTTTAATCTTTAAAAACTAATAATTTAATGAAACATTGTTAGATATAATATTTAACAAATGGATCCATTATTCATACTGTTTATTATAATGTTGTGATGCCTATATTTATTTGTAGCATTTAAAACAATTGATTTTATTTTTATTTATCTTATCTTTATTTCATTATTTATTTAGATTAAACCTAGATTACATTACACCATTTCACCATGAAAGAAAATATTAGCATCAGTCATGAATTTTACATATATACATTATATATACATTATATTACACAATACAAGTGGAATTAGGTATACATTACTGAAAGATGGGTCTTAGATTGCAGATTTAATATGTTAGAACAAGCTAATTCTACACAAGGGAAGCTAAATAACGGACTCTTGGATGTCACATGTCATGAAGATGTTGACATGCAGAACAAATTAGATATAATCACATTTCCTCAGACTAGAAAAAAAACACACAGACATTCTGCCTCCTATACCGTAGGTAGCACTGCATACCCAGAGTGCACTGGGCTCTCAGACACACTTCAAATCCAGAAGCCTGGCATTTGACCAGCCAATAGGAAAGTCTCTTGAGACCTCAGTGCTCTTTATTCTCTGAGAGGTCACATCGCAGTGGGTCGATGCAATATCTCCTCCATGTCTTGGAAGACAACCTGTCTCCAGCTTCCTGTGAGCAAGCTCAGTTAAATGATGTGACTGACAGGCAGGAGCCCCTAAATGTAACTTCTTTGACTGCTTACAATGTTACTATGTATTTTCAGTGGAAATGAAGCAATCAGCTGTAACTTTCTCTGCCCCCCTAATATAATGGCAGGGGAAACACTGTACATGTACATACTGTACATTATTATTTGGTGATGCTCAAATTCACTTGTAGCATTTAAAGCAATACAGTGTTTTTAAATCTTTACCACTATTTAATGCTCACCTAAAATTAATCTTTAAAAACACTAGTAATTTAATAATACTGTTAGATTTAATCTTTAGCAAATCATATCCGTTGTTGTTATGGTAAATTATAATGTTGTTATGGCTAAATTCACTTGTAGCATTTATTAAAATGATTGACTTTAGTTCTTAGTGTTTTATTTTTTATTTATTTAGAAAAAATAGCATCAAATTCTAATATCCGCCACCACTTATCAGCCACAATTTTAATTTCGATGTATCCAAGTTACTTATTTGTACTTTTCATACACTTCATATATTTATTATTTACTGCTCTGCGGATTGTCTGTTGCTACCGAGTGTCAAACATAACATCTTTGATCTCCCATGGTGCTTCATGCCTGTTTGATTGCTTATAATTATCCTGGTGCATGCACATCCTCAAACAAACAAATATATCACAGTAATTAAGGCCTTCTGCAGTCCTCTTGAGTTTAGTTAGCGCTATTGTTATTTATTTATTTATTTCTTAATAGAGGGAAAGAACCTATGAGTCACCAGATCTCTTTGTTGGAAAGAAAAGTGTCCACAGAAGTTTTACATTCCCACTTCTCTCAGTACAGCAGTAATTTCCGTTATTACGGTTTTATTACAAAAACGCTCTAGTGTTGTTTTAACAAGAGCAAACTGTGCAAAGCAGGAATTGATGACTGTTGAATGTAGCACATTGTTTCAGACCCTGACCGGAGCAAAGCAGAGCATTGTGCCACAGAGATATCGCCCTCTGATGAGCAGAACACATCACTCACACTGATGGCTTTCTGTACCCAGCACATCTCATCACCTCCTGTTTGTGTGCTTTGATTGGTTCAGTGTCACATAAATAATTATGTTCATCACAAAAGTGTGTGGTTGCTGTAGCTGTTAACCAGTATTTGTAGTTCTGATTGGTACAAGTCTTTCAAGTGTTGGAATTATGTTGCTTATTGATAGCCTGACAGGCTGTTGAGTCTTGTAGGTGGATTTTGAGTAAATATTCTTTCAAATAATTAAATTAGGGTATTTATTTTCAACATATTTGTACATTTCATTTGCTATTATTCAATTGTGTTAAATGTATATTTACATAGGCCACCTTGCTCTCAAGACATTGGTGTTTGTCACACGTTTCCATGCCCATATCGGGTGACCACTACATTTGACTCCCATTTAAAGACCTGAACCCTGAACAAGTAACCAGTAACTGAATCTCTCTCCTCTTTCTCTCTCTCTCCTTCTCTCTAGATAAACGAGTTGAGCCATGTTCAGATCCCCATCATGCTTATGCCTGATGACTTCAAAGCCTACTCAAAGATTAAGGTGGACAACCACCTTTTCAACAAGTGAGTTCTTCTCAAGGTTTTCCCCATTCTCAACTGTTATGTTCCAACATATTTTAATCTTTTAATCATATTAGAGAGGTGAATCTTATGAAACCTGTCAAGAACATGTCTGAATTATATTAAGTTTAAAAAGCAGTTCAACTTAAAGGGTTAGTTCACCCAAAAAGTCAACCCTCAAGTAGGGCTGGGTATCGATTCAGATGTCCCGATTCGATTCGATTTCGATTCACAAGCTCTCGATTCGATTCGATTCTCGATTTTTTTTTATTACATTCAGTGAATATAGTTTTAATAAAAATGCTATTGATATTTCTAAAAAAAATTACAGTAAACATCAGTTTCCAAATGGTGAATTAATAAAAAGAAATTAAGAACCACATGCCTGTATTTTAAACCTGTTCTTTTTTTCCTTTAAAAATAAAGATGTATTAATATTTATGAGCAGTAGTAACATTGAGTCTTAAAGACTGCTAAATAGTAATATATTCTGACCGTTTCTTAATGTTAAACTAAACTTTTATTTTGAAGGGTTGCCGTGAAGTACTTGCAGCTGCTGTGTATGTGATATGACGGTAGTTTTCTCAAATGAAACGGTAAAATGCTAATGAAGTGACTCTCAGAGCAGCTGGAGATGACATTCGTGTTCATATTATCATATAGTGAGACGGCAGAAGCAGAAAACACCGCGAGCGTCATCCGCGCTTTAGTATGTGTGTAGTAAACAAAAAAGTGCGCCGCACCATCCGCCATTCATTCATTACGGAAATCATGCCGCCAAATGCGTGATATCAAATGCTTCCACAGATTTATAGTATTACTATAGCATTTCACCTGAGCATTACGAATCACGCGTATGGCCATGATAAGCGCTGAATGAATGACAGGCTTTCTGTTGTAACATCGCGCAATGTAAATAAGGGTGACATATAGTGGAGAAGACTAATGATAAGATGCACGTTAATCAGATCTTGTTTTAAATGTGTGCTGAAATAAATACCGGTAAAGATCGATTCGCGACTTTTGAGAATTGATATTGAATTGACGTCATTTAAAAAACTGATTAATCGAAAAAATTATTATTTATTTTTTTTGCCCAGCCCTACCCTCAAGTCATCCTAGGTGTATATGACTTTCTTCTTTCAGATGAATCCAATCGGCGTTATATTAAATATTGTCCTGGCTCTTCTAAGCTCTAACATTGCAGTGGGCGGGTGTTTCTGTTCAACTGTCCAAAACACGTTAAATAAAGTGCACGCATCCGTAATAAAACGTGCCTCATACGGCTCTGGGGGGTGAATGAAGGCCTCCTGTAGTGAATCCATGCGTTTTTGTCAAAAAATATCCATATTTCAAACGTAATAAACACTTTTCTATCCCTTCTGCTATCTGTCAAACGTGGAAGCAGTTCGGGCGGATGACGTAGGACGTCGGCGTTGCGTGATTAGTAGGGCTGGGTATCGAGTTTGATACTTTTTAGGCACCGACCGAATTGCCTCGATACCATCGAGTATCGAAAAAAGTCTCGTCGTTCGGTACCAAATTTCGATACCTAAAGGGTTAATCTCATCAACGTCAGTGAGGCGCAGATCGATCAGTGTTTGACATCCGTGTGAGCGAAAGCGCGTGTTATGTGACCATTCATGCACACTGTAGCATCATGCTACATAAGACCAGGGTTTAAATTGGGCTGGGCCGTCTGGGGCTGAGCCCCGGCACATAGACTCCAGGGCTTGACATTAACGCCAGACAAGTAAGATGATTAAAACATCAGTAACCAAAAATAACTATGTAAACACCAAAATGCAAGTATTATTCTGATTTTATTACATTTAGAGTAGGGATGCACCGATATGAAAAATTTGGCCGATACGGATAACCGATTATTCTTTATTTTTGAAAGCTGATAACCGATATGTTGGCCGATAAATCTATATCCAAATTGTTATATACTTTTTGAGAGCCTGATTACAAAAAAGGTATCATCATTAAAAGCCACATCCCAAACACTTCAACATAAGCAGCCTAGTTTGAACGGTGTACGTTTTAAAAATATTTTTACTCTCCCATTACCAAATTTAGTCATAAAAAAGTCTTACAAATAAATAAAATAATGCATAAATAATGCAAACAAGTCACTGGACATCATTACACGTGTAAAGAATCAAAATTAATGCGCCACAGATCAATAAAACAGAATAGCCTCTGCACGGACAATAATTAAATGATTTTAATTACTAAACCATATTGTTAATGAAAATAATAAGAGAAAAATACAAGTTGTTGTTGTTGTTAATAATGTATCAATGATTTTGATGAAAAGTTAATACCACTTAATACCAAAAAATTAATACCACTGTTTTAAATAGCAGCCGTTGAGCTGCGCGTGCTGAAGCTGAAGAGCTGAATGAACATGGTAAACTGAAGCGTTTTGCTGGCAGCTTATTTAACTCAAGGAAATGCATCCTGAGATTAATATTAATACAACATAAACATAATATTACAACTTATATATGTACAAAATGATGCAGTTATTGCGTGCTATAGTCAGAATGTGTGATCCTGTTGTGGATGCGCTCTTCCCATATCAACGTGCTGAAACACAGCAACTAAACCCAAAGAATGCACAACGTTTTATTATAATAATGTTCTCATTAGAATGTTATATACACGACATTCCCAATCATAGTTATTAATGTTGTGCACTGCTGTTTGGGCTGCGTGTGCTGAGCTAAAGATGATCACCGGTAAACTGAAGCGCTCTTTTAACTTAACCCAACGCATTCTATATGAGATAAATCAGATATACATCAAATAAACACAATATTACAATGTACAATTGCACAAAAGGCTGCAAACGAACAGCGCGCATCTGAAGTGTCTCTGAAGGAAATAATGCATTATTTATCGGCTTTAAGATATCGGCCAAATTTTCTTATCAGGCCGATACCGATAACAGAAAAAATTAGCATTTATCGGCCGATACCGATATGGTGGCCGATATATCGTGCATCCCTAATTTAGAGTAAGTGGTGAATAGTGGATAGCTAATGTATATAATGCATCTATTGACAGTATAAGGTTGCGCTGCTGAGGCGAGGCTCACGCAGCCTCTCCAGGAAAAATCAAAACGCGCAACACTAAGAAACTCAGCATACTGAGGTAAAAATTTAAAATGGAAAGTTTTTATATTTAAAATACAGTTAGTTAGGCAACATCACACAACGTTTTTACCATTACGAATGTTTAATAGTTCTATAAACAGTTCAATAAGCAAATACAATAATAGTAGGTCACTTACATTTTAGGCTGAAACAGCGCATCTCACAGCAACCAGCATATTCATTGCTGATTGATTCCATGAAGAAAAAAGTCATATACACCTAGGATGCCTCGAGGGTGAGTAAAACACAGGCTGATTTTCATTTTTGGGTGAACTAACCCTTGAAGTTAAAAGTAAAAAATGTTGGTAGGACACAGCAGCATTTAATTTAAACCAAGTTTAGACTTAAAGCAAAAAAGCATGGTAAATATTTAACTGACAGACTTTTCTTTGTGAGATTTAACCAGACAACTCTTGAGATGTTTCTTCACTTTTCTTCTTTTTCTTCTTTGCTTTTCAGAGAGAATATGCCAAGCCATTTTAAGTTTAAAGAGTATTGCCCTCTTGTTTTCCGTAATTTGAGAGAGAGGTTCAGCATCGATGACCAGGACTTCCAGGTAGGCTTTGTGAAAGAGAGAGAAATGATCCAAGGTGTCACATTCAGTGTGTCTTAAAACCACAGCATATTACTGCAGTTGAACCACACAAAACACCAGTGTACTCACTACTAGGGCTGTAGTACTCGAGTCCGGTCTCGACCGAGTCCAGCAATATGCTTTTTTTTCTCCTTCAAAACAAAACCACTCAGGAGATGTCGCACCTGAAAACGCGTGGAAAACGCTAGGCGCGCCGCTTTCTCCTTCTTTCCAAAGCACTCTGTAGCACTGCGCTCTATGCTTGCACTCCAGTGGCGTCTGCCGTTGCTAAGCAACTATGACCTGCACGCTCCATGAAGACGCGGAAGTTTCCGCAAAGGATAAATGGATTTGCAGCACTAAAAACCCCTTGCAGTAGCTCTGCTACTAAGCTACTAAGTAGCTCTGCTATCCTTGTACAGCTATGATCAGCTGTTTCTCCATCTCGGCTTAGCTTTCAATTTTGTTACAGGAAAGGATGAAGCTGAATGGTTGATTCTTGTCACATGACCCGTGGTGCACTTGCTGTGTTTTGAAAAGTTTAGATTTTTCTAATTTAATTTTCTACCTGTTAGATTGTGTTTTATTAACGTCTACACCTACTTCCTTCTACAGCATTTATTAATATTAGTTAACTTTAATTTCAGCATTCACTAATGCATTATTCAAATGACAAGTTGTGTTTGTTAACATTAATGCACTGTGAACTACCGTGAACAAACAATGAATGAACAACAGTATTTTTATTAAATAATGTTAACAAAGACAAAAATAAATAGTGTAATAAATATATTGTTAATTGTTTGTTCATGTTAGTTAATACATTAACTAATGTTAACAAATGACACCTTATTGTAAAGTGTTACCGACTCTTTTTATGAGGTTAGAAATAGGGCTGAAAGATGAATCGTATTTTCATTGTCATTGCAGTATGAACATGTTATTTAGCAATGGGCACTGAAACATGCTATGAAACAGCAGATTTGGTGGATTTAGGCGCCAGAGTGCAGAATTGCATTAATAAACTCAATGGAATCGTATGTTATTGGTTGTAATGCTCACCGCTGTAAAAACAAAACAAAAATATTTAGTTTTATTTGTTGGCCCTAATATGCAGAGTTAATTATTCATTTATTTATCACAAGTAATCATCATTGCAAAAAAAAAAAAAACTCCACTGTTATCACATATTGCAGAATGTCCTCATATCGTGCAGGACTATTAGAAAGGCAAAATCAATGCAAATCAGTGGATATGTCTGCTATAATAGGATATGTGTGTTAAGGCCAGTTGGAGCTAAACTCTGCAGGGCATTGGCCCTCCAGGATCTAGTTAGGAGACCCCTGTCCTACAGAGTTGTTACTTTGCACATGCTTTTTGATCATTACAAATAATAATGTAAAATGATTTTCTTAGAATAGGAGATATGCTGTCTCTCGCATGACATACATTATCAATAGTTAAGTATGTGGTCTTGAAGATGATCCTTTTTTTTCTCTCATTTGGACTCGGTCTTGACTTGGACTCGAAACTTTTGGACTTGGACTTGACTTGGACTCGAACCTCTTTTGACTCGGTCTCGACTAGTCCTGGTCTTGGACTTGTCTTGGACTCAACAAAGCTGGACTTGACTACAGCTCTACTCACTACTAAACAATGCAAAATAGATTAAAGTCTCTGTTAGAAAAGCCCATGATTACCAAGAGGTAATTTAGTCATTAACCACTCAATTTGCTGTCGTAATGAAGACCATTATTCCCCATAATAACACAGTAATGACGGAGCTGTCCTTGCATCCTTCAGCCTCCCACGAACGTTCTTAATTGCCCTCATATTCCTTTCCTTATATCCCTTTCATGGAAGAAAATACCTTTTTTAGCAAGAATAGTCGCAATCAGTGTGCAGTAGATGGAAAGGCTTTTCTCAACATTTCTTATTTTGGTTAATGAGGAAGATGCGCCTTCGCTCCTTACTGTAATCAGAAAGAGCTCAGGGTCTTGGTTAGAGCTCCCTGTCTGCTTATGTGGGTTTAAAAGGCATTACGTTGACTGTAAACCTTACACATGCGCAAAAACATCAGCTTCCCAGAATGTGCTGCTTATTTTATGGTCTTGATTAGAGACGTTCAGTATGAGCTGTTTACTGCAGGTTTATCCTTGTATAGGCTCCCTATGTTATACATCAGAGAAGAATGAAACCTTCATTGCGCTAAGACAAGCTGGCAGAAAGGGTTTTGCAAATTTAGAAGTGTGCTTAACAACTTCGTATTTTCAAAATAGACTAGTCACACTCCAAAGAGAAAGGAAAAATTTAAATCGCATCATATGACCCCTTTAAGGAAGCCCTATGTCAGGGGGCTGGTGCTCACTTGTAGGCCTCAGAAAACTTCCAAGGGAGCCTCAAGATGACTTAAAACAAACATTGAAGTGCAACAGTTGGGTTCCAGAAGTAAAAACTTAATTCATTTTCTCCATAGGCATATTTTTTTTATAAGACTTTAAAGATGTACTTGTGAGCTCTGAGATTATGAATCAGTTATATGCTTTTGTTGAAACCATCTGTTCACATCATTTCAACTTATTTTCAAGTTTGACTATTGAAGACTAGTCATTTTTAATTTGATTCTGTCATTCAAATTATTCATGCGATTGTAGTTCTTTCCCTCACTAAAGACATTAAAGGGTTAGTTCACCAAAAAATGAAAATTCTGTCATTAATTACTCACCCTCATGTCGTTCCAAACCTGTAAGACCTTTGTTCATCTTCAGAGCACAAATTAAGATATTTTTGTTTAAATCCGAGACCTCTCTGACCCTCCATAGACAGCAAGGGAACTTCCACGGTCAAGGCACAAAAAACGTAGCAAGGACATCGGTAAAATAGTCCATGTGGCATCAGGGGTTCAACTGTAAGTTTACGAAGCTAAAGACGTTATTCAACAATTCTTCTCCTCCTAATCCCATCTGCAGTGATGTGCCACCATTATCAGTATCACAACGCATGCACGCGCTTCCAGTTCATGTAAACAACGCATGTGTGTGTTACGTAAGCAGCAGCGCCATGCGCATGTGTCGTTTACATGATGCGGAAGCGCGCGCATGCGTCGTGATACTGTCTCCGTAATGGCAAGTTAATGCAGACGAGATGAGGAGGAGAAGAATTGTTGAATAAACTCCTTATTTTTGTTTTCTTTGCGCACAAAGTATTCTCGTAGCTGTCTGATTTTTAACTGTCTTAGAAGTCTGATTTTCAAATACTTTCCTGCTCTATAAAAAAGTTTGGAATGCTGTGATTCACCTCGTAGCTGGTTTGCTTAGTTCATGGCTCATAATGCTTTAACAAAGACCTTTTTTTAAATCCCTATGGGGAAAATGAATGGGAAAAAATGCTTCCGGAACCAATGCAGGAATTTCCCCCCTTAATACTTGTTGCTTGGAGAATGTGGATATACAGTGCCGCCCATTAATATTGGCACCCTTGGTAAATATGAGCGAAGGTGGCTGTGAAAATAAATCTGCATTGTTTATCCTTTTGATCTTTCATTCAAAAAATTTACAAGATTCTAACCTTTCATTGAAGTAAAACAATGGAAAGTGGGAGAAACTCACATTATGAAATAAATGTTTTTCTCTAGTTCACGTTAGCCACAGTTATTGGCACCCAATTATTGCAACGGCCTTTTCCCAAGATAAGAGTTCTGAGTTTTACCATATGATGCCTGATGAGTTTGGAAAACACCTGACGAGAGATCAGAGACCATTCCTTCATCCAGAACCTCTTCAGTTCACCTCACTCATTTTCTACAGAGTTCAGGTCAGGGAACTGAGACAGCCATGGCAGAAGCTTAATTTTGTGCTCAGTGACACATTTTTGTGTTGATTTTGATGTTTGTTTTGGATCCTTGTCTTGATGGAAGATCCAAACATGGTCCATTATAAGATTTCTTACAGAGGCAGTCAGGTTTAGATTTTTTATCTGTTGGTATTTGATAGAATCCATGATGCCATGCATCTGAACAAGATGTCCAGGACCTCCGGCAGAAAAATAGGCCCATAACATTGCAGTATATTTAACTGTGGACATGGGGAACTTTTTATCCCTGTTTGCACCAAACACATCTGGTGGGTTTGCAAAAAGCTATTTTTTATGTTTCATCTGACCATAGAAGCCAGTGCCATTTGAAGTTCCAGTCGTGCCTGACAACTGAATATGCTAGAGTTTGTTTTTGGATGAGCCAGGAGTTTTTTTCTTGAAACCCATTTGAACAACATGTGGTGATGTAGGGGCTGTTTGATATATTTTTTTAGGCTTTCTGACCCCAAGGTTCAACTAATCTCTGCAATTCTCCAGCTGTAATCCTTGGAGAGTCTTTGGTAGGGCTGAACGATTTTGGAAAATAATCTAATTGCGATTTTTTATTTTTTTTTTACCAATATTGCGATTGCGATCTAATATGCAATTATTTTTTAAAGCTCTTTATGTTCTGTATTATTCAAAGACAAGCTATTAATCATTGTATAGTATGACCAACACAATATTAGATAGATTAAACATAAATGTTATTTTCTGTAGGCCAGGCCTATGTTACGATGAAATTAGGTGATGCATGAATTGATATCAACTACAATCACAGTATATTGACTGATTTGTTGAACTTCCAACCTTGTAAGCATGTAATAATTATGACAACATAAAGCACTGACAAATAAGCCTGGTGTAAACATTAATATGAAAGTCAGTAACAAATCACACAAACTAAAGTAGATTGCAGAAATATAAAAACAAATCTGTTGCTTTACCACACTACTTTAGGTAATTCAAAGTCACTGTAATAAACATATGTAAACGTGGACTGCACTTTTTAAACACTGTCTGTTAAGTTTAGACCATTGGTTCTCAAACTTTTTTGGTCGCGCCCCCCTTTAAACCTATAAAACAATCTGACGCCCCTTTCCCAAATCCCCATCCCACCTCAGACTACCAAATAATTTCACTAAACATTATGAAAAATTAAAGCTTTTTTAATAAAAAAAAAAATATTTATTTCATAATGTGAGTTTCCCCCCCACTTTCAATTGTTTTACTTCAGTGAACGTTTACAATTTTGTGAATTTTTTGAATAAAAGATCAAAAAGATAAATGATACAGAATTATTTTGACGGCCATCTTTGATCATATTTACCAAGAGTGCCAATATTAGTGGGCGGCACTGTATGAGGTAGCATCATTTTAAAAGTGTAATTATTGACATTGTCAAAATCATGTAAATTAATCAAATCCATGAGCATTTTTATTATGCATTTTTCTAGTTATGCCATGCGCTAAAATATTTTATATCATTTTTAGGGGTGACCCCGAATAGTCGAAGATTCGATGCTTCAATAGGAGGAACTTGATTTGACTACCAATCTCCCAGTCGAATATTCGCAGGTGTTATGATCATGCCATTTTGGCTATATGGGGGTGCTCAAATGTCTGATTTCACATAGAACTACTGTTTTTCTCCCAATAAGTTAATATACAGCCTATTAAGATAATGCTGTAAATAAGAATCTGAAAAGAAAGAAGCTTCAAATAAATATTTTAACATGCGTGACTAAATCCAACCACTCCTATAGATTTAAGTTTTACTTTCCATAATCTGTGACTGACAGAGGAGCATCTTGGCGGCAGGGATTTAAAACTTTAACAAGACTCAAATTGACACAGGCGGAGTGAAAGACTGGATTTTTTCGATCAGGTAGGGTACAAGTGATTTCAAAACATTTCAGCCGGTTTATATATATCGTGGATATATTATTTATCTCGTATAAGATGCATTTGGTTGAGTTGCGCTGCAGTAAAGCGCTTTATTGTAGTAATACCGTGATTATCTCTTCAGCAAGCAGGACAAACAACAATGCAGAATATTAATAACTATGACTGGGACTGTCATATACATAACATTATAATGAGAACACTATTGTAATAAAACAAATAAAACACACGTTGTTGCATGAAGAACGTGTCCACAAAAGGATAGATAGCCTGTAAGTCGTAATATTAACATTATGTTTTGTAAATAACGAAGCGTATTCTATATGAGATAAATGATGAGTTAAATCCCATTGATTAAAAACCTGGTGCTTCATTCTACTGGTCATCATCAGTGCACGCAGCTCAAAACAGAAACGCAGAACATTAATAACCACTGTCATATACATAACGTTATAATGAGAGCACTATTGTAAAAAATTTTGTGAATTCTTAGGGTTTCACTGCTGTTTAATTTTAACTATCTTTTAATCAAAACATAAAACATTATTTACCCCGTTTGTATCTGCGAGATGTCTGTTACATATTTTCCTGTGTGTTAACGTAATTATGACTGTCGAATGTCTGACTTGACTCTTGGTAATGAATTTTGCCCCACCCCCAAAACATATGATTCGTCTATCAGTCGACTATCGGCAAGATTCGAAAATTCCGATTCGACTATGAAAATCCTTAGTCGGGGACACCCCCAATAATTTTATAGAAACTGAAAAATTAAAAGAAAAATTATTTTTAAATCCTTATACTTGATCCTAGTTCAGGGGTGCCCAAACTCAGTCCTAGAGGGCCGTGTGTCCTGCAGAGTTTAGCCCCAACTTGCCTCAACACACCTGCCTGGAAGTTTGTAGTATGCCTAGTAAGACCTTAATCAGCTGCTTCAGGTGTGTTTGATTAGGGTTGGAGCTAAACTCTGCAGGACACTGGCCCTCCAGGACCGAGTTTGGGCACCCCTGTCCTAGTTAATTACTACTGGAAGAGTCATGGGGCCTTGGAATATGATTGCGGACAGTCCATAACAGCCATTAAAAAGAAAAGGTTGAGAACCCCTGCCCTATATAATTATGCTAGTTTAGGACTGCTTCTCATGTTGGTCATAACATAAGTGGGCGGTACTTGGGACCAGACGTTATGCCGCTAGTCAAATGTCTACCTGCATAATAACAAAGCTGTTTTGTAATACAGATCTAGTGTAATCCCGCTATGACTTCCTAGAGTTGTGGTTCCTCAGTCCACCCTGCATCCTCTGCCTCATCATCACTATGTTTAGCCCATCTGTGCACACACTTCCCTGCAGAACAAGCCATCAGCTGAACAGCTACAAGCCCTAACCCGCATGACTCAGCCTGTGAAACCTTTAGAAATTTCATATCCTGCTTTTGGTTTTGTGTTTAATGGCTATACTTGATGAATATAGTTAGGAAATCCAAGCAAATGTAGAAAAAGGTTCTGATACTCAGACTGAGGGAGGTGGTCGGGAAATGTGTGGGTGTGTATGTTTGAGGTAGCAGACCTTGGGAATGTATGTAGAGTAGTTCGAGCTGCTCTGTGCAGCTGTGTCCTTCACTCACCCTCACGGAGCAGAGACCCTCTGGTCCTTTCAAGTGCATCATGCGTCCACCATGAGCTCTTTGAGGTTTTTTTTTATTTTTTTATAACTGGAACAGACACAAGGGCAGACCACTTCAGTTGGTGAGAGAAAATGGTTGGAAATTGCACAGTGTCTAAATGTCAGTGGTCATGCGTTTGTGGGCAGGGCAATTACGGTAGTGATTTGCACTCCAGATCATCAGAAACTTGCATATCCTTTTGCACGAGTGCCAGTCCTCAGTCATGAGTTCTGTGAATCTCTTTCAGAACTAGAACAGGTTCAGATCCATTTTACCAGTGACTTGACAGTCAAACCATGACATAACTGATTGTTACTTAACCTGCCCACAAATAAACATGCATTTATTTATTTATATTTATTTATTTATTTATTTTTTACAAAAATTTTATTTTATTTAGCTGCACAACAGTTTTTAAACTTGATGATAAATTATTTCTTGAGCACCAGATCAGCATATTAGAATGTCATCTGAAAGATCATGTGAAACTGAAGACTGGAGTAATGACGCTAAAAATTCAGTTTTACCATCACAGAAATAATTTATATATTAAATTAGATTTTTTTTCTGTATTTTTGATCAAACAGATGTAGCCTTGGTGAGCTTTAGCTACTTCTTTCAGAAACATGAAAAGAACTTACTGACCTCAAACCTTTAAACAGTAGTGCATGATATTTGTAAATAAAATAATTTTATTTCAGATAAAATATATAGCGGCTCTGCAACACAGCAAATGTTGGCCATCAACTGAATTAAAGAATCACATTGAACACTTTCAGTATTGATAGTTTAATTGATAGGAATTTAGTTTTGTTGCATTGGACTAGACAAATTAAGTTGCTTTTGTTTTGAAAACTACATTTATCATGCTTCCTGGATAATGACATTAGCTGGATTGAAACCAGCAGGTTCAAGGGGCAGGTGCGGGCTGATTTTCTGGCTCAGAACAGCCTTTTACATTAGCATGTGTAACAGTGCCAGATTGGGTGGAAAAGAGAGAAAATTTATGCTTTTTAAATCTATTAATCAATTGCTATAAACATTGGTGTGCTTAAAGAAAATGAGTACATATTTGCAAAGTTAAGAAAATAATTAAAGAAAACCGCAATTTCAACTTCAGAATGAAATAAAAGTGTTAAAAAGTATCACTTAGTCTCATTCATCTTTGTGTGCGTTTATTATGTGTGCTAAGACCTCTTACCCATGTGTGTTGGCAGAACTCTTTGACCCGCAGTGCACCCCTCGTCAGTGAAGCTCAGGGCCGTAGTGGTGCTCGCTTCCACACCTCCTACGACAAGAGGTACGTCATCAAAACCATAAGCAGCGAGGACGTGGCTGAGATGCACAACATCCTCAAAAAGTACCACCAGGTGCGAACAAGCTCATACATTCCCCATGTTTTACCAATAATTTGTACATTTACAGGCACATTTCTTGTGAGCCAGGTATTATGTATTTTTAATGTCTTTTTTTCACTGCAGTATATTGTGGAATGTCATGGTACCACACTGCTGCCACAGTTTCTAGGCATGTACCGCCTCACTGTAGATGGAGATGAGACTTATATGATAGTCACACGCAACGTTTTCAGTCACCGGTTGTCTGTGTATAAGAAATATGACCTGAAGGTAAGGATTATGAAAAATGACTGGCCAAGTCAAACCAGATGACGGTTATGATATAGTTTGACATGTTCCAATTTTTCTTCTCTGTAGGGATCTACTGTTGCCAGAGAGGCAAGTGACAAAGAAAAGGTCAGTTTCACCCTCAAACACAAAAATCTGATCTGAATGTTTTCAATTTGGACTTTTCTGATCTTTTTTGTTGGTTTTCTGTGTGTAGAGTGTATGTGTATGTTAGGTCTCATTGCTTGTGTGTTTGAAGATGGTTCTTTCTGTAGTGGCTAATCATTTGTCACTTCAAACACCTTAATTTACTGTGAAGCAGAGAGTGAGTATTAGAGTGAGGCGTGCTGGTTTTAAGAGCGTCTGTGTGATTATCGGGTGCACAGATGTAGGCCTAGATCTATCCTATACTTAGGGTGTCAAGGTGAAGCAGAGTCCATGGTGCTTTTTTAAGATACGGAGATTAAACAAGAGACTGTAAGCTTCAGTAGCATCAACACTGAAAATAAAACGGTTGATTTAATGACAGTGGTTGGGCTGTGTGCCTGTTCACAAGGTACTAGAACTTAACAAAGAAGAAATATTAAAGTTAGCCATGTATCCTTGTAATTTCACATGTCTGTCTATTATTAGGCATTATTTTGCATAGTCGTGCATGGTGTATTTTTGTTCAACCAAAGAAATCCGTGTCTGTGTGTGTGTGTATATATAGTAATAAGTATAAGTAAGCCTACTAGGCCAAGTTAAACTTCTCTGTACAACTCCAGCCCAAAGGTGGCCCATGAGTTAAAATAACAGGTGGTCTGAGGGGCATGAGGTTACCCGACTCCTATTTTAATCCTTTTATTCTGTCAAAGGGCCATAGACGCTAATCACTGGCACTTTGGAGGGGGATAAAAGGGGAAATTCTCACATTTTCTCCATTCATAGCTGCATAGAAAAAAAATCACCAGCTTTGAACAACAGCACTCAAGTTTTTTGGAAACACTTGTTTTTTGTGTTTTCTTCCACCAGAGATTACACTGCAAAAAAAAGAAAAAAAATTATAAAAACTGAAACTAAATTATATAATTAAATATTATCAACTGTTATCTAAAATCAATTAAATGTAATTTAAAAAAATATTTTAATAATATATATATGCTGAAAACTAGTCTTATGACACAATTTTGCACCAAATTTATCTTGTCGTTAATGATTTTTAGACATTTCTACTGAAAAACAAGACCCAAAATGCTGATTAGAGAAAGTATTAATTAAAATTATTTTGCAGCCCATCTCACATCTGTCACACAGATGAGAGACAGGAGACTGTCACTGTAAAATCGAATGTCTGAATAAATGTTGAGCCTGTTGCTGTTCTGTTACAGACCAAATGTAGCTTTACAAAACAAAGGAGGAGTAGAAAGAAGAGTTCATTTTCTTCATATGTGATGCGATCTGGGAAAACCCGTCGGATGTTGCGCTGGGACGTTTTCAGGAAATTCGAAAAATAGGTCGAATGTCAAAATTAGGGTTTCATTCAATTATTATTCTATAACATCTCTTCTATCATCTCTGAAAATATCTTGGCAAAATTCACTTTTCACGTTTAGTGCAGAAAAATAGCGATTTATTGCAGCAAGCAGAAAAGACTGTCTTTCTCTCATGTTAACAACACGCTTGCGGAGGTGCTTTCTCTTAACACCACAAAAACAGTTAACCTATCAAAATAAACCACGTAACATATGTAATAAAAGTGTATCAATGCACATTTCCCGCCAGCCCTGTGCCAACTACGGCACGCAAAGTTTTTTTAATTTATTTATTTTATTAATATCGTGAGATGGCGGAGCGCAAGAAAACTACGCAGTCTGAAGCTGCTCACTTAGACGATCTTGCTCGTCTCAGTCTTCTCAATCTTGGTGATGTCAGTGCTAGGTGTGTCGAAATTAATTGTTTCTTCGATGCATCGCGATACAGACGAGAACGATTCGGTATCGGTTCAGTAATAGACCATAACCGATTATAACGTACTGACGCTTTTCTGACGTCATTTGTCTCATACGTGCTTTGTCGCGGTAGCATTCATTAGGAGCGTTCAGCTTGAAGCACCGCTGCGCAGAATGATCAGTGTATGACCAAGTACCGCGAGAGCGATAAGAGAGCAGACGGATCCTTATGCTTTTGTGGTTGATGTCATACACTCATCCTGCGCAGCGCTGCTTCAAATCGAACGTGCCTAATGGCAGAGGGAGGCGAGACACGAGTGCGAGTAATTAAAAATGCTCCAACTACTTTAAAAGCCGACATCTGGCCACATTTCGGCTTTTATGAACAACCTGAGCACGACCTGGAGAAGAAACACGCTGTGTGTAAATCATGTCACGCACAATGAAATATGTAGGGGGTAGGGATGGGCAAATGAAGCCTCTGACTGTTTCGGGAAAAGCTTCAAATCTTCGAGTGTCTCGAAAACACTTTGTTGAGTTTCTGATAAATTAATTTACCCATTAAACTGCAATTTAATACCAGTACGAATATCAGTATGATGTAATAGAAGAATAATGTAGCCTACTCGTATGAATTGCATATGGCAAATATAAAATTTTTCTGAAAAAATTTGTATTCTTCATATTACTTGTATGACTGGGTATCTAAAATGTAACTGAATAAGTCAGAATTAAAACTTATTCGTAAAGTAAAATCTGGGGGATCGAACATTTCGACACGCAAAGTGAATCGTGCACGTGATTGGACAGAAAGTGAAGCTTCATTTGTCATTGGTCACATGATTTCTATGACAAGCTTCGAATCGAGGCTTCATCTAGCATGCCCATTTATTCTCGACACAAACTCCGATGCCTCGATTCAAATGTCACATCACTAGCAGGAGGTAATACCACTAACTTAAGAAACCAGGTCAGGTACAGTTCATATATCCGACTGCTTGTATTTATTGACAAAATTGTATAAATGTGAAGTAAAATTGAAAATTGCAGAGGATGCAGTGCATTGTCAATGCATTGTGATGCATCGTGATATCAAATTGAACCAAATCGATGACATGATAATCGTAACTGAACCGTGAGACCAGTGTAGGTTCGCACCTCTAGTCAGTGCCCTAAAAGATGTTATAATGGTATATTTCACATCCAGAGATAAAGGATCGGATGATGAAGTTACTAAAGAGGAGGAGTCCGATGACAGTCTGTTATATGCACAGGTGCGCTGCGCTCGCTTTTCTAAATGTAAACTACACGGTACACTATTCGTGCTATCTAATGCCGCTTTTCCACTGCGTGGTACGACTCGGCTCGGCACGGCTCAGTACGGTGCTTTCCCACTGCATAGTACGGCTCGGTACGGTTCACTTTTGGTGGGTTTTCCACTGGGTACAGTACCTGGTACCAGGTACTTTTTTTAGTACCACCTCGGTTGAGGTTCCAAGTGAACCGTTCCGTTACCAAAGCGTGATGTGTAAACTCTGCTGATCACGGATTGGCCGGAGAGAATCGTCACTACCTGCGTCACTGAACTTGCGACACAAACACAACACAACCGCTAGATTTAAATCAGCACAGCCAGCGAAGGATCGAACGCAACGGTTTTGAACAAGCGCACCTTTTTTAACAACCAAAAAGTGTCTGTTTCGTTGTCTGTAGAGGAAATACAGACGTTCCTCTCGTTGATAGCATAGGAACGGATCCAGCGAGAGCTTGATGGGGCGACGCAGAATGAAAAAGTTTTTCAGGAGTCGCGGCAATAGAGGCGGCGCAACTATAACGACATGTCAATAATCCCACCCACTCTAAAGTGGTACTGAACTGCAGTGGAAATGCAAACCGTGCCGTACTGAGCCGAGCCAAGCCGAGTTGTACCACTCAGTGGAAAAGCGCCATAAACATACAAGGGGTGATCAAAAGTTCAGAGACTATGCCCATGATAAACAACGGAAACTGTCCTCTTCAGGGTAACGTTAGTTAGTCTGTTTGTGTAATGATGCAGTATAGCGCTCCTGACAGACGGCGATCGTTAAGTAGAAGTGAAAGTGAAACCCGTCTCACTTTAAACCCGTTTTTTCTCAAAATTCCATTCCGGAAAATCATAGCTATCGGCCAAATTCAGATAGCCATAACTTTTGTTACGTTCAAGCTATGGACAAAATAAAAGGGCTTGAACGTAACAAAGAAAGGGCTTGAACCCAGCTTTCATATGGTATCAAAACCTAAAAAAGGAAAATTTCACCAGGTGTTGGGTTTTCCTAGATCACATCACACATGCTCTGTTAGTTTTGTAAGAATAGCCTTTTTTAAATTGTGCCTGTTCATGTGTTGGTACAAATGTGGACTTTGAAGTAACTTTCTCTGAAATATTTGCAAGTCAGATATTTATGTGTTCTGGTTTTGCTTACATGTGTAACTTTATTATTCTCACAATGACTTGTATCATTGAGATACTTTTGTGAAGTTTATAGCCACAAATACTTCTTCACTTAAATAAATGTAAGTCAAACACTCTTGTAAAACAAGCTTGAGCCGTTTCTCACTAAAAGCACATCAGATTATCCTCTTTCTCGGGTGTAGAGTTCTCACCTCAAGCCATGGTATTCTGGCAGTTACCCTAGAAAAGGTTTTTAACTATGTTTTGTTTGTTTGTTTTAGAGGCTATGGTTAAAAGTAGATTTAAATATTTTTCTTTCTTCTGCTATTTTAATGTTTTCAACATTAGAAGCTGTCATAGCATTAAGAAACAAACAAATGAACTAATAATAGGCATATACTATAATATGATTCAGTCCTCCAGCAAGTTAAAAATTTCTCCTTTCGCTCAATGCCTGCCTACACTCTTAGAAAAAAAAACTAAAAGGTACGAAAGTACGAAGCTGTCACTGGGGCAGTACTCTTGAGGTACAAAAGCTAAAAGTTACATCTTTGTACCTCGTTTACCCATAAATGGTACATATTAATATACCTTAAAGGTACTTTTCAAGTAGCATTCACAAGTCATTTTAATTTTATAATGTGACATATTTCTGAAGGAAACAAGACATTAAGTGTATGAAATAAAAAAATAGGCTCTTTGACAGGTGTTTGGAAGGTAGGGGTTAAAAAATTAAGAATGTGCATTAATCTTTAATGGATGCAAACCATTTAATCAGTGCCACAAAATAGATAGATGTCTGTTCACTTACAGTGCTTTCCTTGACCAAACCTATTGCTAATGCTCTTCAACCCATTAACAGGGCACACTTCGGCTGTCTATGCCCTAGATTTCACAATGATATGATAGGTGTATGTTTGCTTTTCAACGTTGGGAAATCTGCAAATGGTAAGAGGTTGTTAAAGTCCATTAATAAGGTTTTTACTGGAGTCTGGAGCAAGGATACCAAATAAGCTAATTACGCAGAATTGCTGGAGTCGGTTCATTCTGGAGGTTTAAATCACCCCAGAGGAAATATTTCGACCTGCATTCCTTTTCAATAGTTCGAGCGAGCCATAAAAATGTATTACTTAATTATTGAATAGTGAGTAATTACTTAAAGCTGAGTTCATATTGAGTTGTAGCTAATTTTTGTGATGTCAGTCATTAACGCTGTATATGAAAGCTCATTTCAATTGTAGGCCATTCTGAATATCTCTAAACACAAATGTAGATCAGCAGCTAGTTAAGCTGTTGCCTCATTTGTTCATTTGAGGGTACATGCAGCTGAACATGCCAAACAGGCTTTTTCTAATGAAACTAGAGCACCCCCTGCTGCGCCGTGTGATATTACATGACATGACCAGCATGTCAGGACCTGAATTCATTTTGATGTTAATGATCAACCTCTTTTGAAGCTCTTAAAAGTGTCTGCAAGTGCAAGTAAGCTTCTTTAACACACTAAATGTTGTTTCCCTCTTTTCCACCAGGCTAAAGAACTCCCCACGTACAAAGATAATGACTTTATCAATGATGGACAGAAAATATACATCGATGAAGAGAGTAAGAAAACCTTCCTTGATAAGCTACGAAAGGACGTGGAGGTAAATGATTGAGAAGAATTTTCTTTTTCACTCTGTCTGCCTGCTATGGATACAATGACTCATTTATCTTGAATACTTTGTCACTTCCTCTTTCTCTCTCTTTTTCCTCCCTCATCTCTCTGTCTAGTTCCTTGCTTTGCTGAAGTTGATGGACTACAGTCTTTTGGTTGGGATCCATGACGTGGAAAGGGCAGAACAAGAGGAGGTGGAGAGTGAAGATAATGAAGGAGAAGAGGAAGGAGAGAGTGATGGAGGCATTATCGGCACTCCTCCTGACAGTCCCAGTAACACTCTGGACAGCGCTAAACCACTCTTGCCGGGAGACTTCGACCCCAGTATTGACGTCTATGCCATCAAAAGCCATGACAGTGAGTGGGGCAGGAAGCATATGTGTTGTCTTATTGAAATGGGTTCTGTGCATATATTTCACTGTATATGATAAATACACTTTTGAACATATATATATACTATATACCAAACCTTAAAGTCAGCATGAAATCAAAATTGGCCCCATTTCCTCTTTTAATGCATGTCCCTGTGGTTATTGTGAACAATTCATCCATGCATGATATTCTTAAAATAAAAGCGTTTATTAAAATTGTATACGTTGATGTCATCAAGAGAGGTAGGTGGTGAAAATAATTTTAATAATCAAACATTCCGTTCTCCCTCCATTCTGGTACGTAATGGGCACCCTTCCACAATCCAGTCAATTCTTGATTGATAAGCTAAGACCCATCCCACTTTTTCTGCAATATGTCATATTATGAAAATTTGTTGCAAGTTCTGTTTTCATAAATGATGAATGTAACTTTTTCCTCCAGATTCTCCCAGAAAGGAGGTCTATTTTATGGCTGTTATTGACATCCTGCAGCATTATGATGCCAAGAAAAAGGCCGCTCATGCAGCCAAGACAGTAAAGCATGGGGTGAGTGCTTTGATTTTTTCATTTAAATGTCATTTTTCTTAATATTCAGAGTTATATCACTGTAAAATGATTCTGCTAAATTTACTCTGAAAAACCAAATTCACCATAAAAACACTGTGACGCTGTTTCCAGTATTACGGCATGGCATATTGGTGCGTATATACAACTTATTACCATGTATTTCGGTACTGAAGTACTTCAGGTAACTTCAGTATTGACATTATGTTACTTCAAGTTATATATAATGTTAGTAAACCAATGTACTTGAACTACCAAAATCTGCTTTTTACTTTACAGTGTACCAGTTACTAACATAATAATGCAGGTGGTAAAATAGAATGCCACATGATGACTATGACCAATAGTCATGTGTAGGCGGTGCACAGGGTCCATACACTCAAAGACAAAAAACAATCAGGGTAACACACATAATTTAAAAATAATGCAATAAACTAAACAAACAGAAAATGTAACACAAAACACACATATTAAATAAACAGAAAATGTAACACAAATCTCACACATAATTAAAAAATAATGCAATAAATATAAACTAACTAACAGAAAATGTAACACGAAACACTCTTAATGTACATGACTGATAACAAAAATATGAAGAAACAAAACTATTTGAATAAAATATAATCATGTGTGATGTGTCCCACAGGGACTTCTGGGCTTGTCTTTTCACTGCTCACCATAAATTATATAACAATTCATAATTTTTACTTCCAAAAAACACAATTTGTATTGTCTTTTGTGATGTTAAACCATGTACAGTCTTGCACAGTATATGGTTAATTAAAAAGTTTAATTTTCTGCAAAAAACATTCAAACTTAATTTTTTCGTCAGTGTATGGTTGGATAGAAGAAACATTATCAAATAATGAAATAATAATTACCACTACATTTCTGAGCTTGTACCGGGAGTACAGTAGAGAGGGCAACTTTGCGTATTTCTCTCAAGCATCTCATTCATCATTTATGCTCTAAAGTGTATGCATGACTGAAACCTTTTATAGCTTTTATAAAGGCATCGACCTCATGCTTTTTTCATCTTAGGCTGGGGCAGAGATTTCCACCGTGAACCCAGAGCAGTACTCCAAGAGATTCTATGATTTCATCACTACCATTCTGCCCTAGTCCGAGGCAGCTGAGCTGAGTCCACAGGGATGAAGAGGGACGCCAGCAGAGGGGTGTTGAACACTCACTCGCCCGCTCTGCCACAGGGGGGCACCCCTACAGCAGCTACAACAACCATTCGTTTACATTTTGATTTTCATTTATTCGTCTTTCTGTTTTGTGGGACCATGAGAGAGTGATGGAAAAGGACAACAGTTATAACTTTTTTGGGGGGGATAGGGCTTTTTACTGCTTTCTTATGCATGCCCCTTAATCTTGTTTGTTCCATTTGACATTTTTCTTGCCTTTTAAAGTGGAAGAGGATGGAGAGAGGAAAGAGAGCTCATGTGCTGGTCTGTGGCTCAGTTAGTAGAATTAGGTCTCTGAAAAAAGGAGGCCGAAAACACAACTTCTCAATCGTTCTCTTACTGAATCATTCATCAAATCCCTAGCCGAACTCACTTCACGCAACCCTTGGCTGCCCGCTCTGCTTTACTCCACCGGGGTCAACAGCTTCGCGGAAAGGCACCTGAAACACTTGACACCACGGCACCTGCTAACTCTCCTTACTCGCGCGGTCCTCTTCATTCTCTGGGCAGACTAACCAGAAACGCTCTTTGAGCCATTTACAAAAGGAGGACCCTAACTTGCCTTGTGTGGACAGACAGCTGAATCTGACTGTTTTGCAGGTTCCTTCAGTGTTCTGAGGCAAACGCGTTTGAAACGGTGGCGAAGATTCCGGTAGGTTTTTTTTTTTTTTTTAGTTTTGTTTTGCAGCAACTTGACAGGAGGGAGAATGAAGACACTGAGGCAGCAGGATCAGTGGTTTTTCTTCGGTCATCAGTGAATTCTGTTACATTAGTGATTCAGTTGCCATCAGCACCTAGGTTTTTTTTTTTTTTTTTTTAGTTTTGTTTTGCAGCAACTTGACAGGAGGGAGAATGAAGACACTGAGGCAGCAGGATCAGTGGTTTCTCTTCGGTCATCAGTGAATTCTGTTACATTAGTGATTCAGTTGCCATCAGCACCTTAAACTGTTGCACTTTTTATTAGGATCACTCGTCTGTTACAAGCTGCAACGATAGCACTATGAGGCACTGTTTAACGCAGACTTGCCGTTTCATGTGTTCTAACGCATACGCTTGTTCTCAACAGACAAAACATAGTTTACCTCTTGCATCGTACCAGGACACACCGATTTGTGTTGTTTCAGTATTCCATGGAGGTTTGGGGAAGGGGTGCTTTGTTGTATTTTTTTTTTTCTTATTCATTTTAAAACATGAAATTGTGTTTATGTCTCGTGCGTTTTGTTCGAAATTCTTTTGAACGTTCAAATTGGCAGCAAAATAGATAAAATGTTGTACATTTTGCACATGATGAATGGAACCAAAATGTTCACGGAATCCTGTTGGTTCAGCAGTGGTATTTACAAGGGAAACATAATACCTGTAACAGAGGAGAATGCTTTTGTAAATGGCATTGAATTAGATGCAGGTAATATGACTTAGAGATTAACATTTGTTCAACTTTTCGAATTCAAAAAAGCCGCCTCATCCTACGTTGTTTAGACTTTTTGATCAATTGCACATATTTTTTTTTCATTTAATTTTAATCCACCAGAATTGTAAAGCACCACTCCGTGATTCGGTAAAAGTGTTCTGATAAATGAAGAATGTTACTGTTTTAAATCATACAACACAAGTACTGTGTAAAAAAAGAAAGGAAAAAGATGCATGTTGCATTATTTTTAGTGTTCAGTCTGGTTTAGTCCAGAGATGGTGTATATTCCATGCTTGGTCATATTTTTATTTTATTTTTTTCCCCCTTACCCTAAACCCCCCACCCCAGGTCTATTTTTTTAAGATGGTCCCATACCTGCTTTATATACTGTGTTTTCAATGTATACACTGTGCAAGAGTCGTGCCTTTTTACTCCAAATTATTTAATTCCTTATTTTTTAAATCTTTTTTTCTCCCCTCGGAACAGAATATTATTAAATATTATTTTCTAATAGGGTGGTTGTTGGAAAAAAAAAATCTTTTGTTTTGTTTTGTTTATGTGTTTTGATGTTTCAAAATGTGCTGTTGCTTCAAACGGATAGAAGACATTGCATTTTCTGTTCACAACAACACAACACAAAAGGTCACAATTTCTCCTTGACTGGCTAATTCTATGTGCAAAGTCTTTTGGACAAGAGTGTGCATTGTGAATTTGTTGATATGAGTAGGTGTGGCTCTTGTTATAGTGTTAATTGTAAATTGTGTTCAGGCTTTCTCCAAGCATTTTTATCTGGGAAGTATTATCCAGCACCAATGTTACATCGTCCTTGGTTAGTGTTTCATTTTCTTAATAAACTGAGCGCTGCTTGTGCCCTTGGGAAACCGTTGCACAATGGGAAAATAAGCATTTATTATTGTTGTCTTTGGGATGAAAACACACCCTGGTCTTATTGGTTGTAATATTCACAACAACAAAAACAGCACCATGGGCATGACAAAAGAGGCTGTTTTAGCGGCAGACTTTGATAGTGTCATCAGAGCATCGCTTCAGCTTCTGATACTGGATTCACACGCATCGATATATATATATATATATATATGAATTTCACTAAATGTGAAAAGTGCTACAGTAAGATACAGCTTCACTTCACGCCTTCTTAAAAAAAGCCCTCCACCATGTTCTTCAATTGCCAAAAGCATTTTTTGCTCAATGGGTTCATTGATGGATAACTCATCACATAAGCTTTGGGGAAAAAATGTAATGTACTTTTAGCAATTCGATTTTTATTTTCTGAACATTTATGAATGCCGCGAACGGATGGATTTTATTGGGATATGCAGGTTTACACGCTTACTGAAAAACATCCCCTCGTTTGTGAAATGTTATAATCTAGATAGTAAAGGTAATAGAAGTGATTGGGAAGCGCTGGTTATCTGCATCACACTCACAAATATTGAGTACAAAAGTTGTTTTTGAGAGTAACCAAAGGGGCGGCTGTCTCATGTGTTATGATGTAAACCGATATACACTCCATTCCATATGCATTGCTCAAAACAATAAAGCACTTTGTCTGCAATTTACGGCGCAACGTCTCATGTTTTCTGCACATTTAATAATGTTTATATGGTATTTTCTGAGTCCCGCAGAGAATTGGCTTTCGTTTTATAAAAGCTTAATCAGTAGACCGCATGCCATTTTACAGTTTACTCAATTAATAAACATGTATTGCTTAAATGTAAAACACTTTAATACGTATATATGGGCAGATTATTATTATTATATTTAATAAAGGAGTATAGCTTAATTGATCTTACTCCGAGTAGACGCTATATTTAATTTATTCTCGAATGAAAAGTAGGCTGTGGGGGATCTACCCGACTCATGATTCACCTGAAGCAACATTGAAAGTGCGTCTAAAAATACTGGCGTCAAAATTCCGGAAAATATATTGTGTAACGGACGTGCTGTGGGAGCTTTACACAGTCCAGCACGTGGAGTGGTTTGTATGTTTATCTTTCATTCGCTAAAAACAATATATATGGCGTCTGCCTCGAATGAAGTCCATAGCCTGCACAGGCCTGTTCATTGTAAAAGTGTTGCGGGGGTGAGCGCTCATTGTTGATTCAAATGAACGATCCTGTTGCCAATTCGTTTGTAGATAATACATGATGTCTTCTAAAGCATGTTAAACATTCTGTGTAAACAGATTAATGAAGAAATCTGGACTGGTAGTAACACCAATCTCATAGACAATCTATAGGCGGTCAGACAGCTTATATTTCTGCACAACGGGAACGTGACAAATTCGTGCATGAACACTCCTCTGGACTCTTGGGTGTTAGTGATGTGTTTAAGAAGTCAACAGCTGAGAGTGTAGACTATCAAGACTTTACTCCTCTCACCACCCAAGTCACAAATTCAGCACCTGGTCAGCAGGTTATAGGTGGGCACGGGGATCATTTAATTAAACAGTAGACCTATGCTAAACTGGAATTTGAGAACGTAAAATTCGACACTATAACATAGGCTATTAGCTATGCGATTTGTAAAGGCCAGGGTCAGAAGTCACATCGACACCCGTTTCTTAGATAATAGGCGAGTTCTTCTCAATTCTAAATACTCGCTTTGTTCAGGGCACGGTTTCGGAAACAGTTAATTGCTCAAAACAATAAAGCATAGTTAACTCGTTCCCTCGTTAACTTACATTTTGAGGCCTGCTCTTCTAAGCCTCGTTATTGACGTGACAAGTAGATCCTGCTTAAATAATAAGCTGCAACTTAAACGAATCCTTCATTACTCAGTGTTCTGTCGAATTTAACACAAACTATTTCATATATATTTTCTTGCTACATTTGTTTCTATGTGTTTCGCTTTGTTCCAGTACTCAATAACCAGTGTTCAAATATCGATTTCACATCTGTTAGCTTCTGGTCTGAGGACTTCTCTTTCCTCTTCCTTGATGCATTATCTTTTTTTTTTTTTTTTTAAATGTAGGTATGACTGACAGATACCAACATTTGGATGAATGGCCCACAAGGACTATAGGGGGAATGGGAAATACAAAAAGATCAGATAGACCAGGCTTCATGCTTAATTAACACTGTTCTGTAGGCCAATCTATTTCTGGAGGACTTCCACACCAAGAAAGGTTTTTATTTTTCTCGGATGAAAGCATATGGTTAATGCTATAGTCTATACGTCTCCTCCATTATTCACCATTTTCTTCGGCTCCTTGAGATGACTTGCATACTTCTATTTTTCCACAGGAGGAATAATGTTTACCTCTTCAGCAACCTTCACATGAACCAGTTTTGTGAGAACGTTTTTGGTTTTTTGGGAGAATAGTATGTAGCTACTGAACATTCTCCATCAAAAGTCCTCCGACTGCTACAATCGGAAATGTACTGTGTTTTCACTTCATTTGTTTTGCGCCTTCTCTTTAAGAAGCCTATAGTTAGAACAATATCAGTAGCCTATAATACGAAAAGCGTCCCATAGGTCAATAACATGAATTAATGAAATAAGAGAAGAAAACATCAGATATGAAAATGTAACAAACAAATAGGCTAAATAACGGAATTATACACCGAAAAGCCAAACCTCGGTTTCTTCATTTTTCCAACACAATTATTTCCTTATTTTATCAATAGAGCATATTTTATGTACTATTTACATGCATGCACTTCGGAAACCGCTTCCTGTAACAACTTTTTTCATTTTATTTCATTTTATTATATTTTTATAAGGCCTATGAGTATTGTTTTCCCAGCTTTGCCTTAACGATTATAGCAAGAGTATATTTGGCAGTTTTAGGGAACGCCAATTTTTACCATCATCAAAATAAAGCTCTTCTGCCTTGGGAGAAATAAGCCTAAAATCCATTCATTATTTAATTAGAATCATGGTTTACCGGGGGTCAAGATCGCTGGGTGCTATTTCTTCATTCCACCTTAAATCCTCGTGTCCTCCCCTTTAAGAGAAAAGTCTCCAAACGTTCCCGCCCGAGCGGGGGCGCTAATAGCACGTGCAATGACGAGACGTTTGCGAGCCATATTTTTAAGAGCTGTCAATTACGCTTCTGTTCTTACTCAAACATGTCGAGACAGCTCCAGTATTTTATCATTTATGTCCACGCAACTGTTGTATAGCTCACAGCGCAGTCGGCAAAATGAGTTTCATGTCTGAAGGTATTCTTTTATAGGGTATTTTCTACCCTCACCTACACCCTACATTTCGTCTTTTTCTCGGCATCGGCTTTTCCTCAACTGCTCGCATTCTTACCTGTTTAAACCTTAGTAATAGCCTAATATAGTCGATTTTTATAT